CACAAGCGCACGCCGGGGGTCCGCTGCTGCCCCCTGAGGCGCGCCTGTCGCTCACCCGGGCCCCCCGGCGCCTCCTGCCTGCCTGCAGTGGACATCGAGGAGGCTCTGTACCGGCACGCCGCAGCCCTGGGCATCACCTTTGTGACCATCACGCAGGCGCGGGCGGGTCGGGCGGGGTCGGGTGTCGCGGTTGGCGGTGGTGGCCCCAGGTCGCCTGCCCGGCCACGGCTCTGCTGTGGATGCCAGCTGAAGCCACGGCGCAGGGCCCGTGCAACGGTGCCGCTCAGGGCCCCGCCGCTTGCCCCTGCCCCTCTCCGCCTCACGTGGCCCCCAGCTCCCTCCACAGCCGCTCCCCCCCCCCCCCCCCTTCCTTGCAGCGCACTGCCCTGGTGAAGTACCACGACCGCGAGCTGCGCCTGACCGACGGGGAGGGGGAGTGGGAGCTGCGGGAAATCCACCCGCTGCGCAAGCAGGCCGGGGCGCCTCGCCCGCAGCCCCACCCCCCGCAGCTCGCATCGAGGAGCTGCCGGCGCAGTGAGCAAGCACAGCAACAGTATTGCGTTGCTGGTGTGCATGTATCCCTGCTCCCAGGCTTTCATTTTCACCCCCCCGTGGTCAGCCATGCAATTCATTCCCATGTGTGGTCGCTCCTCGTTGCCCTTCAATCCACGATGGTGGTGCATCCCTCCCGCAAGCAATTGAACCACCTGGTACCAGTACTGGGACTGGCGGCGGAGCCGCCCGGTCACCGCCCCAAGCAAGTGCGCCTGCAACGATGATTGCTACCGGCCGCAGCGGGCGGTTGCTCCACCCCCAATCCCACGTCCGTGAGCTGCTGGCGCCTCGCCCCGCAACTTTACTCGTCCGTACCTGTCTCCCGGGACAAGTACGTACTCCGGGGGTGGGTGGCTGTTGGCCGCAGGCCGAGATCTCTAGAGGAGGAGGGCCAGGAGGAGAAGGCGCGCACACCAAGAGTGGAACTTCACCCCAACCTCCCCGGAGCGTTCCGTGGCCACAAGTGCAACATGGGCGTCCTCAGTACTTACCGCATGGCATTACTTCAGAAGCACTCCTCAGGCAGCCACCGCCCTCGGCACACAGCCATGAGGTTCCCCCTGCTCCAGAGGCTTGCTGTGCTCCTCCTGTGCGCCACCCCCGTGCTTTGCAAGTGAGTTCCTGCAGACGCCCTGAGTTGTGGATATTGCGGCCTGCAATGATCTTGAGGAGGCTCTGCCAAGGAGCTCCCGCCGCCCTAGGGCTGGTGGCGCAGGGCAGTGCCGCCGGGCGCCCGCTGCCGCTGGGCAACAGGACGCTCCTGCCCCCAGGCTGCGGCAGCTGAGCTGACAGGCCGCAAGTCTATGCCCCACACGCCGCAGGGCACCTGTCATTAATCACGAGTGCGCACTGAAGTGCATCAAGAAGGACGGGTGGAACCAGGTGCGCTCCGCCCCGCTCCTTGCGCTCGCCCCGCCGGTAACCTTACCTCCCCGGGAGGCGGCCCCCATTGAGGCGGCCTCCCTGCTTTGCTTTTTGTGTTTTTACAGCCTGCATATCCGCAAAGGGTCTTGCAACACAGACCCCTGCTCGCCTGTGTGGGCTTACAACAGGCCTGCACACACCCAACTCTGGCTCCCCCCTTGCCACGGCAGATGTGTGTCGATGATGGGCGCGCCGACATGAGGGGGACGATCTATCCCAACGACTGCGCCTGGCAGAAGTGCGTCGCCACGACCGCCGACCGCGAGTCCACCCCGCGCTACCACCTGGCGCCGCTGGAATGCTTCAGCCCCACCACGTGCGTGCTGCGGTACAAGAACATTGTGCGCTGCAAGCAGGTCTGGCTGGACGGCCGGAACACCACCGCGCCCTCCCCCAGGGTCGACAGAGCTTGTGCCTGCGCCCGCCCCACCGGTGAGGGCAGGCGTGGCTCCGGCGGTTGGACAGCGGTTGGGCTGCTTCCCGCCATGCTGCGCTCCTGGCTGCCTCGCCCCTCATGCCTGGATGTCCCTCTGTTGCAATTGCTGTGCGCAGAGCTGAGCCGCTGCAAGCCGGGCAGGCGCGGCTGCCCGCTCTGCCTCAACGACTTGCAGTGCGGCAGGTGCGACAACGGCTTCTATCGCAAGAGGGGGGCCTGCAAGCCCTGCCCGGCCAACTGCAAGAAGTGCTCCATCCGCGACCCCAAATATTGCGGCATCTGCAACGAGGGCTTTGCCTGGTTCCCCAGGAATGGCACGTGCATGAGGAGGTGAGCGTGGCGAGTGCCCACCCTCGTCGTCAGTTCCCTTGGCAGGCCAAACCTGTTAAGAGGCAATGTTCTTCGGATCCGTAGATGATGCTTCATCTCCAAGTTGGCTCCATTCTTCATCTCCTTATGAGTAATGACTTTCGGCGGGACCTTCCCTTCCTCTCTTGCATCTCCCTGCTGCTAAGCGCCCCCCCTTTGGTCCTGTTGTTGTAACGTTGCCCAAGCTGCTGAGGCAGGAGATTTGCTCAACTTGCATGGAGGACATGCCATTACTGCAGCACAGGTACCAAGACAGTAGGAGGAAGAATGCGGAAGAGGATAGCTTGTGTTGCCGCATCAACGGCGCGGCTGGCCGGCCAGGAAGGCCGGCAGCTGCCAAGAACCAAAATGAAAGGGACCGATGCAGCGGGGACGGCTGTGTACATGCACCATTCAATCAGAGGTGCCGTGAGGGCAGCTGGCCAGCCGGCGGCAGAGCCTGAGCGCCGCCGCTGCTGCCGTGCGCCCGCCGCGCGAGCGTGGCGGCGGCCGGCAGAACCGTCACGCCGTGGTGCCGTTTGCGGCGGGCTGCGCCGGCACGGCCGCCCCGCCCTCCTTCTCCTCCCCCTCCTTCTGCCCGTGCTCGCTGGACATGATGAGGGAGTGGAGGATGAATCCCATCTGCTGCGTCTCGTCCGCCTTGCCGCCCTTGCCGGTGGTGATGCCGTCCAGCACCGCGCTGTCCATGCGCAGCTTGCGCTGGCTCAGGTTGTAGATGTTCTGGTCCACGCTGTTCTTGGTGATCAGGCGGTACACCTGCGCCCAAAGGTGGTGGTGTGGTGTGGTGTGGTGTGGTGTGGTGTGGTGTGGTGTGGTGTGGTGGTGTGGTGGTGTGGTGTGGTGGGGGGTTGCGCTGGAGGGAGGGAGGGAGGGCGCATGCATGGGGAAGGGCGCAGGGTATGAGGAGGCAACG